TATATATATATATATATATATATATATAGTGTTATCCTCCTTTGAAGTTCTAACATCCATCTTTAATCACATTCATAAAAGATAAAAGTCTAACAATAAGAGAAGGTTTACATATAACGGGTGAATGCGTTTAATCGACATCTGCGCGCGAAAATCTCGAGCGTAAAAATCATCAATGGTCATTCAGCACCAACACGGGGATAGTGACGGCGAGACATATTATATTCACCGAGGCATATTATTGGACCTATATATCGTTATTGTTACATGTGTATAGAGATGGCCAGAGATACGCCGGGCTCTCCGATGCCGCGACCGCGAGATTTGGGCGCCGGTGGCGGAGGAAGCGCGGCCACGGCTATTTTGACTTCCGGCACTTATCACACTGCAGCTGCCGATACTACCAACATGCATGGCCACGCACTGCAGCAGAAGATACTCGAGGTAACGTACGATACATTTATGTAAGATGCACGTAATATATAGAGCTCACTGAATTCTTCGGTAAAATATCGAAGTTTGAAACTTCTGTGGAACTGTTGTGTAACAAGATAAGAAAATTGTTTGTTAAATGAACAATTTAACAATTAAAAGTATTGATTAAAGAGTATTGAGCATGTCGAAGGAAAATAATTTTTTTTACGAAAGTGTGTATTTTTTACTTTTTATGAAATGTATTCGTAGAAAAATTAATACATTTTTGTAACATTACGATGTACATTATTATATGATTAATTAAATATAACGAAAAAATAATTTGCAATATAATATTTCATAATTGAAAGAAATTATGTTAACATAAAAAAATGAATAACAAATAAGTGACAAATTCTTCATAGTAAAATCGGTTAAGACGAGAAACAAAATCTTTGGATATTCTTCTGACGTGTATTGTAGGATGGCAGAAAATAAACTGTAATATTTATTACTTTTGAAAGAAAAACAAAGTTAAGAAAACGCTGAAATGATTGATATACATTACAGCCGTATAAAAATCTCCGAATAGATTGAACGGAATAAAAAATTCTTTACAGAGGATTAAATCCTTTTATAGAATTGAAGTAAAAAATTAGGAAGTGGGACAGTAGAGTTTATTCTAAAATCGAAAAAAGTTAATGACTTACATTTTTTAACTGTCGTATAACTGTCACCTGATATAAACGTTTTTTTAATACAAAAGTTCTACAGCTTGTATGGACAAATTGACATTACCCTACCGTTGAGTTACGTAAAACAGTACTGAGTTAATGGAATTAAGATTGAAAGTTAAAAAAAAAAGATTTATATTGATTTGCAAATTACGTATATACGTATGCTTAGCGAAGACTGAAAATGATAAACTGAACAGTAATTATGTCTAGTAGTGACAAATTTTGCAAGAGATGGCGTTGCAAATACATAAGATAAGGAGGATAGATAGGAGGATATGTATGCATTTGAATAAGACAAAACGATAATATAAGAAAATGAGTTTGGAGTTACAAAGTCTATATTATTGACAATCAATCTAATTTGGCCATCGTTTCAACATCCCTTTAACAGTTTATTAGGTAGTAGCATAGCTGGTATCGTACTGCGTAGTACTTTGTATTTCATACCTATCATTGAAATACAAATTACAACTGTGTGAATAACTATTACAGAAATTTACACGGAATACATAGTGAAGTTAAGATTACACAGCTGAGTTTCGATTGAATTTGATTGATCATGCACACTTAGTTACATCGCAATTAAGTTCAAAGACATTGATATTTCTGCGAAGGTCAGATTTAATGTTGTGGATAATTTGCTCGGAAATAAATATCCCATACTTGTGATATATTGTAACTGCAGTACTTTGTATGCAGTAATTAGATTCTGCCTAGGAATAAAAACGAACAGCTTTTTTATAAATATACTTGCTTTTTATAAATATGCTTGCTAAAAAGAGAGCAACATTAAAGTGCCCTGTTTTTTTGTGAGCAAATATACAATATATAAAATAAGAAAATTGACATTGTATAGATAGCACAGCATATTGATTTAATATTAACTAAATATTATTGTTAAATGTACCGGAACTGATCTAATAAAACGTAAACTATAAATTTAGATTCATCCAAAATTTATTTCTCTTTTAAAATAATGCCCTCCCACTGCAATACGTTTATCCATGCCAACATTTTTTCTAATCTTCACAGTATTTTTTATCGATTTCGGATATAGTCATTTAGAATGTATGACAAATTCTCTTTTATAGCATTTATTGATTTAAAACGAAGCTTGTGTAGTAATATTCATTGAATTTTTATCCATAAAATCAAATAAAAAAAACCAACGTTTTTGGAACAATGCGAGATATGACTAGTCTAACGCTTAAATTGTTTTTCAAAATCAATTGGCGCGAACCAAATAATCCAACACGTTCAATCATATTTCAAATTGTCAATTGTCAATCACTGAGCACTAAATCTTTAATTTCTCTGTCGTGTTGCTTATCTGTTGAAATGAAAGGTCTTTTACAGCAATTCTCCTTCGACATTCTTTGTCTTTTTTGAACATTTTATATTATTTGAAAATTCTTATTCTTGATACTTTCGTTAGCCCAATCTTTTATTATTTTGTTAAAACTTGAGAGTCCACAATTCTTTGTTTATTTTTATTCTTGACATTGATTACCGAAACACTTCCGCAACACGAAATTTTAATTCCGAAGACAAAATTTTATACAAATTCTTTCAACAAAATTCGGAAGTATTTCTTCTTCTTAATTACAAGCAAGCATTTATTTGTAGGCTAAAGGCGATATTCATAATCCGTTCTTATTTTAAAACCGTCTTAGATGTAATATATAGAAAACTAATACGGCTCTCTGATCGGTTCATGACAGCTTAAGACTGTACTTAAGACAGTCTTAAATATAAAATCCGACTATGAATATCAACCTAAGAAAGGTATAATGACGTGAAATTTATATAAAATTCATATAAATTTATTTAGTAGTTTTATAAATAAATTTCCAAATATTACCAAGTATTTATCTAAAGAGATAATTGACCCCCTTAAAACCAAAAAAATCTCAACTTCAGAGAATTTCAATCAGAAAAGCTGAACGATTACAAGCGAGACAAAATTCTAGAATCTCGTCTTGTCCGTTAATTTTATAGAATTAAGACTAGCAACTCCTCTGATTTCAAATCGGACGATTTTACCGCGTTCGATTTTTTTATACTTGCTTGCTAAAAGTGCAATGCTTGCATAGGAATCGCGTGACAGCATTTATTCGCAAACGTAACCAATTGGACGAAATCGCTTTATTCTCTGTCAGCAACCTACGCATTTCCTTCTGAGAAAAGGCGACTCAAAGTCGCCCACGTGCGACGAATGACAAACGAAAAACATTCTAGAGACACGGTAAATTGGATTAAAACAGAGTGTCGGATACGTACCATGTTGGCATGAAACTTTGCACTGGCACCGCTATGCATACTTTTGCATTTCCACTGGACGCGTGCGACAATAGCTTTTATTCGGTAACATATTGAAAAGCTCTGTACATAAATCTGCATTTCTATTTGTTCCTTTTTTCTTTTTTTATCAAAACTCCTTTATTTTTTACCGTAGGCAAATCGGAAAAATAAGTGCCTGACTATAAATTAATATACTAATATAGAAGAAAAGTATTATATCGCAAATAGGAATGATTTGTAACGATTTCAGTTGAAAAAATAAATGTATAATTAGCAAGTGACTTGTCTGTTATGTTTTACTTGCAAATTAATTATTTTATATCCTTCAGATACTTTTTGACATTTTAGTTTTTAGCTAAAGATGTTGCATTATCCTTGAGATATCTGGATTTGCTTCCAGCTACAGCAGCATCATCAACTTCAACAGCAGATTCTCCGGCAACAGTATCATGCCCAGGAACGACAATTGGCTGAACTGCATGAGCAACAGATGCATCAACTAAAGGTAAATCGAGTCTTATAGATTTGTTTGTACTTCGACATTATTATAGTGATTTGCTAGTCATCTTAGAGTATGCAGAAGAATGATCTTAGCGCACATGAGAGATATAATAGATTGTTAAAAAAGGATGAGTTTATAAGAAATAATTTATTTCTGTCGCAGCTCTGGGAACAAAAGAAGCAGGAGGAACAAAGGCGAGAGAAGGAAAGACTCGAAGCTCTCAGGAAGAAAGACAAGCATGATCATAGCGCGAATGCATCCACAGAAGTCAAGACACGCCTTCATGTAAATTTGAATTTTTTCCTTTGTTATTAGACATGATACATTTTTTTAATTTTTAGGTATGAGTAATGTTAGATCATAAATTTTTAGCAAGGATTATATATACCTTTTATCTCTTAAATTTTGCATATTCGCAGTATTAATTTTTAAGTCTCAGAAGTTCTATATACATTTTTCTATTTTGAAATATCAAATGGAATGAGCTCAGGGAATGAAAGTAACTAGTTATTTGTAACGGTGTTATTTTTTTTGGTAATTGTTACTGTAATGTAGTAACTAATACTTATATCGTATAACTGTATTGGTTGTCCAACTTTAACTGCAATTTTCTCAGAATCAAAAGCCCATCCAAATCTTTTTACAATGTTAATACACATAATTCTCTTCTTTCAAATGAACTATGGTTCATACCATTTGATATTTTACAATTTTTGCCACCTCCTTGTGAAAAGAAGTTTTAATTAGCTGAGAGAGAACATTTAGTCATTTACGATCTCTCGTCTGTCCAGTCGGAAATAAAATATTGATTTTCCGAATTTGTATGTAAATAGCACGCGCTTTAAATTTTATGCGAATCCTATAATTCTCTGTTTACGAGGCTCTTACGATTACAGGATTTTCTGATGAATAAAAAGCAAAGGGAAGCAGCTGCCGCAGCGAACGGAGCAGTACTGCCGGTACCCGGCACACCCGGATATAGAAACTGGTAAAATGTACAACATATATATATATGTATGTGTGTGTATATATATTATATATATATATATATATATAATTCCTGCTGTAACTTATTTGTTTTTTTATTTACAATTTCTTAATAATAATAGATTTTTTTAAATATACATATAAAGTTTCAATTAGAACGATGCATCTTTTCAACATACTTTGCTCTCTTATTGATTATTCCTTATCTAACTCTTGATAATACGTTATGAATGATGTCTCGAACTTTTTTTATCTAGGTTACAACCGCAGTCAGAATCATCGAGCACCACGAATGCGGCTCATCGATATCAGATGCCACAGATGCTGGAGAAGTTTGGCGACGATTTCCCGCCAAACTGTCTTAGAAAGACAGGTAATTGTCTCGAGATATCTGAATTAACTTATGCATATTTCGTACAAGCAGTTTGTGTGCCAATAGAATGTCTACTAAAGCATGGTGTTTCAATGTTCGAGAAACGAGTTGAATCTCAGAAAACGAGCTTACATGTCGACGCGATGTTTGCTTCTTTGATCATTACTTTATCCGAGAATATAAAGAAAAGCAATGATTTTCCTCAACAAAATTCGCTCGATCGGATTATATATCGACATGCACATAGCAAGTCGGACAAATTGCATTTCATTATCCGACTTAAGTAATAGATAAATTCTCAGTTTCTGTGAATATACATCTTTTTTATATCTATGCAAACACTTTTCAACGCAAAGCGAAAGTCTACATAAGTTTATAATTGTCCATGGGAAAATATACAGAGTGAAGAAGAATTTTCGGACCGGTAAAATATTTCGAAAACAAAGAATTTTTAAGCAAAATGTTTCATACAAAAGTTGTAGAATTTAAAATGATTTCATTTATTGATTCGATCAGTTTAACCTTGAGTGGCATCGTCAAGGTCATCTATTTTTGTGACTTTGACTTGATCTTGACGACACCATCCAAAATTAAATTGATTAGATTAATAAATAGATCGTTTTAAACATATCTACTTAGTTGGCATATAATATGCTAGCTATAATATGGCTTTGCTTCAAGAGGGAAGTGCCTTAAGGGATGCAGCGCAAAAATTGAAACTATGTGAATATGAAAGTACATAAATCCTATGTATTTAATTTTCCAAATTGGTTGTTATTAACACGTAGAGGGGTTGACTGACAACCTACTCAGCCCTCTAACAAAAACTTTTTTTTAGGATGAAATGAGCGCAAAATTTTTTTTTTTTTATTTTGAGAGCGCATAAATAGCGCATTATTATATAATTTATTCATTAAGGCTCGTATTCAGAACACGCTTTTATTTCCAAAACTGTATAGTGTGTAACGTAAACTATAGCGCGCTAACATCGTTGTAAGCGCGTTCTGAATACAGGCCTAAGATTTGGTTAAGTGAGGGGAGAGGAGGGGGGCAGCTAGGTAAACGTGTTTTAAACTATAATTTTTGTATAAAACATTTTTCTCAAAAAATGCTTTGATTTTGAGATATTTCTGTAGTCTGGGATTTTTTCTTTAGATATAAAAGGCAATTATATACTTATCTACGACATTATCATATACGACAGTATCATAGTTATAACGTTCTGCATTTTGCTTTACTGAAAATAACAAAATTAATAAAATGAATAATAAATTGATGCAATGTCAAACCGACAGGACGATTTCGACTAATATTACATATCGTACGATGAATTTTTCAAACATATTAATTGGCTATATTATAAGATAGATAAGTTTTTGGATCTCTTTATCTTATAGCTAATCAAACAATTTGAAAAATGTATTATACGACAAAAACAGACAAATGTAATATTAGTGCTGTCTGTTGAATTCATCGTGTAATTAATCACAAACAGCGAGTAGGCCATATTAGATACTAGATCATATAGGGTTCGGTTATCTTACAAATCGGCGAATTAATTATTCGCCCTTTATACAGGCGCGAATATCAAGGAAATCTCTGTAGAATCTCATATCTCGCGATTTTTTTCCGCGACGTGCATGCCGGTAAACCGATAATACGAGCGAGCGAACGTGAATGCGAACGTGATATGGGATCATCTCGCATCGCGTTTCTTGTCTTCCATCCGTCTCTCTTTTCCTTCCCCGCCCCTTTCTTCGATATGACAATGACCAACTAACAACCGGCTGAAAAATTGGCCAGCTTCGGAGCCGAACTTGAAAATGCGACTAAAACAACGCGTGGAAAGGAACATGGCTGCGTCGAAAAACTCACCTCTGATGATACGCCGGAAGGACCGCCTGGCGTCGCATCTCAAGCGGAAATCATTATTAGCAAGTACGTTCCTTTCTCTCTCTTTCACACATAAAACACACACACACACACACACACACACACAATGTACGCGCGACCTTTATTCAAGAGAGTTATTAGGCTATTGCCTGCATTCTAAATTTCTTGCGGTGAAATCTCACTCCAGGAGAATGAAAATACAATCACCCTTGAAAAAGATGAAATGTTTTCCCTTTTTTTCCAAGGGTAGTTGTATTTTTTCACTTTCTTAGAGTGAGATTTCATTTTTCTATTAATCCAAATGCTTTTATCGTTATTAGAGAAAAAAAAGTAGACATTGCAACGAAAAAAAAAAGTGAACTTAAACAAGAATTTTTAATCAATGGTAATCGAGATATCGTTAACGCAAGTTGGACATTTTCAGTCGGTTTTGCAATATATAATTTTGGATTTATTTTAATTTTATGTTATTGAAACTTTCTTTTATTGCAATTATCAATTAAAGCAAATATATTTAACATTAAAAGTTTTTTTTCTTTTCGATACCATAAATCATAAATAAAAGAAAAAAATGGAAGAAAAAAATAAGAAATTGAAAAAATTTTCTATGTATCTAATTGATAGGTAATTTAATTTCCTATAAAATAGTTCTTTTGAAGTTTTTTTCGTTGTTTTCGAGACATATTAAAAATAATGGAAAATGATACTTTTTGTTAATATCTCCAAAATATCACTTAATTTAACAGCATTCTTTAAAAAACTTATTTACATGTCGAATGATCATATGAATCAATAAAATTGCGCTAAAGAATTAGTTTCTTTTAAAAACCCTCAGACAATAGCCTATACTTTACAAAGTATTCTAGAACAAGAATTTCTCTTTTTCTCTACATGACATTCGCCAATGTTACATATATACATTTCTGTTTTTTCTTTCTTTCTCTTTCTGTCTCTCACCGCACCCCGAGTGTTCAATTAATTGACTGTTGAGTTCTTTTGACGTTTGTTACTCTCCTGTAACAGCATGAGCGAAAATACTCTCCAATTAACATATGTAAATTAACGCTGTCCAGGAATATTTTAATCGCTCTCCAAATAACGGATCGACAGGTTTAAAAAGTCACTTTCAGACATATTTTGAACAGATTATGATAATTTGAGTCGTCGTAAAATTTCTTGTGGATCGTCACAGTCAAAATTTAATATATGTGTGTGTATATATATGTGTGTATGTATGTATATATATATATATATATGTTACACGCGACGTTATGGAGAGTTGGTTTATTTTCGGAGGATTATTAAGTCATACGTCTTTCCTCTTTATTCGCGCGTTAAAAATGCAATTTCGCATGCAATTTTCGTGCGCATGATCATTTATTTATTTCATATATATATATTTTTATTGCGTAACGAGGGGACACTATTCCTCCCTATCTTTCTCATTATTATCGGCGTACTACTTGTATATTTTTTATATTTTTTAGATTCTGGCAGCAATCCTGAGTCTGGGCCTAATTCTCCTCCGACTGTCAATAATTCTCAAGCCAGTCCTACTGCTGAAAGCAATACAGCGATACAGGAAGTAAGCTTCAACAATATCATATTATCATCTTTCAGTGTTATAAAAATTTATTACGAGATGTTTCTGATTTATTACAGGAAGGTGAAAATTCAGCATATGGAGGACGTCTCACTAGCAGCAGTCAACAAGGCAGCTTTTCTGATCTTTCGCTTTTCAGTTCACCGTCCATGCCTAACATCTCGTTAGGTAGACCCCATGTACCGTCGAGCTCATCAGTAAGTATATTTTTTATCAGAAATTATCTCTAATTACGACTCGCGCTTTTTTAGTTATACAAACATGACAATTTAAATTTTATAGTTTTCTTTTAAATATATGTTTAATTATATAATAAAATGTATGTTAGATACAGGGAATAGAAAATTATTTTTTTAAAGTAACTATATTGATTTTCAAAAGTAACATGTTATTGTTACTTAAAAGTTAACTAATAACTAGAAACGGTGTTACCTTTTTTTTTTACAACTGTAACAGTAATATAGTTAAATTGTATTGGTATAACGATAAGGAATTTTACAGTTACTTTTATCGTTACTTTATATTTTGATCTAAAATCTAACAATTATCAGCCTGCAATGAAGCCTGCTCGCTATAATCGCCGGAAAAAGGGGAAGGTCGGACTATTGTTAGATGAAACATCACATTCTTCTATTTGCGATTCCTTAAATAACTCTAGATGGCAATTAATTAATTCTAAAAACTCTATACAAACTAATTTAAACATAATGAATTAAACTCGGATGAAATTATTAATTTCAACAAAGATATAAGATAATGATAAGATTATATAAAAAAATCTTTTCAAGTGTTTAGTTGACGTATTGGGCTGTTCTTTGTTCTCAGAGTGGGACGAAATTAGCACCGGTCTCAGAAGCGGAAGTGCGAGCTGCGTTCACGGCGCGTCTCGGCATGCCGCTCACCGGTCAGATGCTGCACGGTACCTTACCATTCTATCCGTCCCTGACGGTTATCGAGGGCGAGCCGGCATACATCCACAAACAGATACAACAGAATCTACAAGAGCAGGTGGCATCGCCGTCCGCGACGGTGAGTGGTAACAGGCAGCATCCAGCAATGGCAGCAGCAGTGTATCATGCACCGATCACGGATACACAAGTAGCGCAAGCAAGACTGCAAAAGGCTGGTCATCACCGGCCTTTAGGTAGTATGTTCCCTCTTTGTCTTTGGAGAAGCTCTTACCGTGTGCGTGTCCTGTTCTAATGGACAATGGTCTCCGCTGAGAAAAGTGATTCTGGAAGGCAGGCTTACCCGAATTAATAATTCAAAGTTTCTCGAGAGACCATTTCTGTACGAAACATAGCACGCATTTAATAACTCCTCATCAATAACGTAGATTTAAGCGTTTATACGACTGTTTCTTTTTCTTCAAATATAGGTAGAACCCAATCCGCGCCCTTACCGTTAGGTCATCCAATGCTACAGAGCGGCATAATAGCACCGCCTACGCATTACGAGGAATATCTCGCAGAGAAACAGTTTCACGATCAGCAACAAGCGCACAATTACCTGAAACAACAGATCCGTCAGACTGTCCTGACGCGAGTGGGTTCGCGCGGTCAAACCAATCAGCTGGAAGAAGCACCAGAGTCCGAAGAATCCGAAGTAATAGATCTCACGGGTAAGAAAGATCATTCGGAGGAGAGCGAGATTTCGAAGCAGACGAGGGGCCGTCAACAATTCCTTCAACAACAGAGAGATCTTATGATGAGGCATACATTGCAAACGAATGAATCGACCATCTACGCTGGAGGTTTAAGCAGAACTTCTCAATCAGCTAGACCACTCTCTAGAGCATTGTCGAGTCCTCTAGTACACCTAGGTAAAACATGTTTTTTTATCATAAATAATATGACGCGCTAAAGATTTGATGTTTAGTAATCTTTGATGCTTTTGATAAAATATAATTACTTGAATGGATTATTGGATTTGCTTTTAATATCATATTGAATTCATATAATATTTAAACATCTTTTTTGCCCTATCTCTTTCTCTGCCTATAAGAAATATAAAAAGAAAAATATAAAAAGATAGAAAGGATCGATGTAAATTAATTTAAAATGTAATTGTCATAGAAATAATATTTTTAGCTCATGAAATAATTTATCCCCGAAGGTCCTCAGAGCAGCGATATTTTTGCACGAGGTTCTTCGCATCGACCCACTACGGGATTAGCTTATGACCCATTGATGTTGAAACATGCATGTGTCTGTGGCGAAACGGTCAGAGGTCATCCTGAACATGGTGGCCGATTGCAGAGCGTATGGGCTAGATTATCGGAAACGGGCTTGTTGCAACGTTGCGATCGAATACGCTCGCGCAAGGCCACACTCGAAGAGATTCAAACATGTCATAGCGAAGCTCATGCACTTTTATTTGGTGAGTTTTACTCTTTCAAGCTATTTTAGCTTTATAAACAAATATTTTTAACGGACAATAGAATGAAACTAGCAGTTAAGAATTACTACTCTGAAAGTAATTCAATTTAAAAATTTGAAGAAGCTTTAAAACTTTCGTGAAATTTACAATTAAAATTTTATTATTTTTCTTATTCTCAAATTTATTGTTTTTTATTTTTAGAATTTTATTCTTAGATATTCATTTTTGTTACCGAAATAAATATTTATACTAGGTATACGAGATGACAAAAAGTTTGGCCACAAAATTTTGTTTATCAAATCATAGTAACGTATATTTATAAAAGAAATTTTAGACTGTTGATTATATTTTATTAAATACAAAAAATAACATCGAAAGCTTTAACTTCGATACAAACTTTAAGGTGCTTCAGAAACGATAGTCGCGCATTTTTCCATAAATTCTTCCAAATAGCCAATAGAGAGTGGTCTTCAGTTCAACTGATGAAAATCTTTTGATACAGTCTTTTTAGTATTTAGCAAGATATAACTAATATTCTAGAATTTGTTTTTTATATACGTTACTATCCAAGTAATAAACTAACATTATTTATTATTTTGTTGTAAAAATGATGACAAATAATATAAATTCATTACCTTATAATGATTTCATAAACTCACAAATGCAAGCTTTTTTGTTATCCTATATTAATTAATTATATTACTGAATGTATACAAATATGATTTATAATATATGATATAAGTAAATGTGTATATTTAATTACACTACTGTAATTAAATTACAAATTATTATTATTAAGTTATTAAAAATAAAGAAAAATATACTGTACTGTAAAAAAATTTTTAAATCTTAAATCTTAAACTGTAGAACAATTATATCAACGTGATATTAATTTGTGATGTGCGCAGGAACGAATCCGTTGAATCGACAGAAACTGGATATGTCCAAACTATCGCAACTGCCTATCAAAAGTTTCGTCCGACTTCCCTGCGGTGGAGTTGGAGTTGATTCTGACACAACGTGGAACGAGCTTAATACTGCACCTGCTGCCCGAATGGCAGTGGGATGCGTTGTTGACCTTGCATTCAAGACAGCAGTGGGTGATATTAAGAACGGCTTTGCTGTGGTAAGACCGCCTGGACATCACGCAGAGACCAATCAAGCCATGGGTTTTTGCTTCTTCAACTCGGTGGCAATTGCAGCGAGGCTACTTCAGCAGAAACTCGACGTTAGAAAAATTTTAATCTTAGATTGGGTGAGAAATGTTATTATTACGCAACATGATGATAATGTTTTTATACTGTGACAATAAGCAATACAATACAACAAATTAAAATTGTAGTTAAAATTAGACTACGATTCTAAATATATTCGGACATGTTATATGACAAAATATTATATCATGCATTGTATATCTTTAGGACGTTCATCATGGAAACGGTACTCAACAGATGTTTTATGATGATCCACGAGTGCTGTACCTGTCGATACATAGACACGATGATGGTAATTTCTTCCCTGGAACCGGTGGGCCTACTGAATGCGGTGCTGGCAAAGGTCTCGGTTACAACGTAAACGTGGCATGGTCAGGTGGCCTGAATCCGCCCATGAGTGACGCGGAGTATCTCGCGGCATTTCGTACGATTGTCATGCCAATTGCTAAGGAATTCGATCCAGACATCGTGATCGTCTCAGCCGGCTTCGATGCTGCTATTGGTCATCCGGCGCCATTGGGTGGCTACAAAGTCAGCCCGGCATGCTTCGGCAGAATGACACAACACTTACTTAATGTGGCTGATGGCAAGGTCGTCCTTGCCTTAGAAGGAGGCTATGATTTAGCGGCAATCTGCGATTCGGCACAAGAGTGCGTTCGAGCGCTGCTTGGTGACGAACTTAGTCCTCTCCGAGACGAAGAACTCACGAGAATTCCTTGCCAAAACGCCATTGATACGCTGCAGAAAACCATCGCTATCCAGGTGAGTCGAATATTGCACAATACAATGTTGTGATGTTGTCGATGATTACGGCAATTGGAACGCAACTTATGTCGCCGTGTGCATGAAAGTGTTTAGTGATTTAACAATTGGAAGGTACCCATTATCATAATAGGATGCCCAAAGACAAAAATATACGCAGAGATCGGATATTTTTGAGATAGATCTCCTATGTACAACAGTTTATTTAATTTTTGTTATCAAAGCATCGTTAAGTCTAAAAAATGATTGATTTTATCAATAAATTTGTCGTAAATTGTGTAACGATTTTACATAACAGAACATGAAAATTCTTGATTGTGGCAAAAAGCAACGCAGTAGTCAATCAATTTTTTGTTAGAAATTGTATTATATGCTAAAAATAAAATAATGATAAAAGTGATTAATCAAATCATTATCATTACTCAAAAAAATGTAACGACGTGACATAAGTTACGCGTTACTTTATTTGCCAACTCAGAGTTTAATATATTATCATATTTTTTCTTAGATGTCACACTGGCCTTGCGTAAAGCTCGCTGCTCATACAGTCGCAATGAGTGCTATAGAGGCGAGCCAGAAGGAACACGACGAAACAGAAACCGTGTCTGCAATGGCCTCTCTATCAATGCAGCAGCCTACAAACCTCACGTTAGTATTAAATTCTTTTATCATTTATTTTTATCTTATCTAGATTAGATTAATTAAATATTGATATATAATTAAATATCACATACATATATATACTAATAATATGTACATAGAAGAAAGTTCCCTATTATGAAACAGACTTTTAATATAAAATAGCGGAGCTTCTACTAAACTAATAGATATTATCTGTTGATTCCACTATGAATTATATTGCTCTTGGGGTGAAATCTATTCAGTGGAAAATTTATTATTGGATCGTACGTGTAGTTGCGAAAAGAAATTTATGAAATTGGATGTTGTCAGTTTTTATTGAAGTGAGACTTTAAATCTTGTTTTGTTAATAAATAAATATTTGGCAATAAAGTCTGTATGCATTAGAAGAATAAGATTAATAGTATAACATGAGTATGTCAAATTGCTTAATGTAGTAGAGATTATTTGTAGAGATTAGATTTCGTGAAATCATAAAGCGTGGAACTCGTAATATCTAAATATTTAGAATGCTCTAACAATAAGAGTACCGTTTCATACGTGATGCGTATGATGTATCATTTTAGCCTTCTTTAATATTCGACAACAAGAATAAAATGACACATGCCTATCATATATGAAACAGAACACCTTCAACATGATGATATTATTGTATAATAATAAAAATATAAGAGAAAATACTATGTTAAAATTAACAGAAGATTTATATGAAATACGTCGCATGCTCATTTTGAGCGTACATTAGCTGTGTTGGAAATATTGAGTATAAGGATTTGTGATTATAACAAATAAGCTTTTCCGTTTTATTTATATTTTAGAAATATTAAATGAAATTTTCTAATTGCAATACTGATGTAATTTACACTTTATTAGCGATATCTCGAAATATTTTATATTAACAGTATAGTTTTTTGAGTTTGCAACAACTCTTTTTTTACATTTTTTCAATTTAAAAAAAATTTATAAATTAGATTTTACATTTCAATATCTTAAAGCTTATTAAATTTCTTTTAAAAAGCTATTCTATTCAATTTTTTAAACTCTGTCCATAGATTTTCAACAATTACACAAAATAAACTCAATGTTTCATAATAAGGGACTTTCCTCTTATATGTATATAGAATATATCTCTGTATTTTATATATGTTTATATACATATACATATATATAAGAGTGTATCATTTTAATTGACGCACTAAAACATCTCTTGAATGGTGCATTTTGAAGAAAACTATGCCCCCCTTCAAACCATGTAACTTTTG